CCCCCCCCCCTCCCGGAGCTGATCAGAGTGGGCACCTACCGCTGGCCCTGTGGGCCCAGGGAGGCCATCCAGGCCGGGGGGTCCCTGGGAATGGGAGGAACACAGATGGATGTGGCTGCCAGGACCTCAGCCCCAGTGCACACGGAGAGGGGGGGCACCTCGGAGAGCCCCAGCCCCTCTGTCCCTGAAGCACGGCCCCGAGGGACTCACCAGTTCCCCTTTCTCTCCAGGGGGACCCACGTAGCCTCGCTCACCTTTGATGCCCTGGGGAAGGAAAGAGATGAAGGCACCGGACATTGGGCACAGACGGGACACGGGGGGGATGTGGGGGGGACAGATGGGGAAGGGATGGGGACAGATGGGACAGGATAGACGGAGCACAGATGGAGTGTGCGGATGGGTGATGGTTGGGGCACTGGGAATGAGTGGGACAGGGCTGAGCCCGGCAGGGACATGGGGCTTGACGCCCGCCAGGGTCCCCCCCACTGTCTGTCCCAGCAGCATGGGGGGGCCCCAGCGAGGCACATGGAGGGACACGAGTTGTCTGGGGGCTGGCACATGCTGCCCGGCTCCCCACAGTACTCACGGGAAGGCCGGGGGGGCCCGTCGCACCGGGGTAGCCAGGCTGCCCGGGGGGTCCCTGTGCAGGAGGAGGATGATGCTGAGCCACCTGCAATGCCCCATCCCGGTGCCCAAAGCCCACAGGGCACCAGTGTGTCTCCCACCCCATCCTCCCACACCACTCACCGGCTCCCCTTTGGCTCCAGCGAGCCCGGCAGGGCCGCGTTCCCCCTGGAGACCCTTCGGAGGGAGAAGAGAGGAGCTGGGGGGGGCCTCCAGCAGCCCCTGCCCAGGGCTGTGCCCTCCTGGCAGCACAGTCGGGCAGAGTGCAGGGGCCCAGGACCTGGGCACGGCCCACGGGGGCTGTGATCTCCACCAGCCCATGCTGGTCCCAGCCTGCTTGGCACCTCCGGGCACTGGGGAGGACCTGCTCGGCCCCCGGCTGGGCTCCCTCCACCCATGGCACCAGCCATGAGCAGTGGGCACAGCGTGGCCGGGTACGCTCACACCCAGACACAAGTTGCTGCTGCCTGTGCACCCCACGCTGGGGGCCGTGGGCAGGACCCACGGGCAACCCCAGGGCCATGGGAAGCTCAGTCCTGGGTGAGGTGCCAAGCTCCCGGCACCTTAGCCACTGCCCAGGACACGCTTCAGACCACAGTCGGGTGCCACCCGCTGCCTCCCTGTCCTCCCAGGCACAGGGGACACAGGGGACAGCTGGGAGCCCCCAGGCTCCGTGCCACGGGACCGCTGGTGCGGGTTAGTGGGGTGACGGGGCGCCGAGGCGGTGGAGACTGGACAGGACACGCTGGCACACCACAGAGCGACGGCCCACACAGACCCACAGAGACCCACACAGACCGTGGTGTTACGGTGACATTAGTGGACACGGGGACAGGAGCAGGACACGACCGGCGTGGGAGGGCAGGATCCTCCGAGAGCCGCCGGCACAGCCCCGCTGCCACCTCGTGCTAGGAGGGAGCACAGGTGGGAGCAGGTGGATGAAGATGAAGATGAGGATGAGGATGAAGATGGAGATGACGGTCAAGATGGAGATGGTGGTGGAGGCTGGCTGACCCCAGAGGAGCCAGGGACCGGGGAGGAGGAGGACGAGCCTAGGCAGCACCCGCTGCATGGAGGGATCCTCCTAGTCCTCCTGAGGGGGGTCCCCGGGGGCAGCCGGGGAAGGGGCAGCAATTGGGTGCCATTTGGTGCACCCTGTGGGTGCTGGAGTGAGCTGTAGGCACCAAGCCACAGTAGCCACCCCCGGCACACCGAGAGCGGCTGAGATGAGCCAACACGGGGGCTGCAGCCATCCCTGGCACACCCGGGTCCCAACATGAGCCTGAAGACCCTGGGGTCCGCTGAGACCCCCCCCTGCATGGGGATGGAGGAGGTGGAAATGAGAGGATGGAGATGGGTGGAAGGGGATGGGGGCAGCTGGGCTGCAGCCACTCCCAGGGGACACAGGGACAAGGGACACAGCCAAACCAAGCGGCAGCAACAGAGAGCACAGAGCAGAGCCGTGCTGGGTCCTTACGGGCAGTCCGGGTGCGCCAGGCGTTCCAGGAAAGCCTGGGGGGCCCTGAGGGGAGAAACAGGGAGATCACAGCCGGGAAATGGCACCCGGGAGCCTGGGCTGAGCCCTTGGGGGGGTGCAGAGTGGCTGGGCGCGGGCCAGCTCGGCCTTGGCCTCCCACCGAGCCAGGCTCCTGCTCCGTCTCCGTGCTGGCAGCGCCTTCGCCTCCATCTCCAGGCTCGCCGGGGGCCCAGCCGTGCCGTGCCGTGCCACGCCGCACCTCCGCCTTGCCACGGCCCCGGCCCTCTGCCCATCACCGTGGCCTCGGGGCAGGGTGCCGGGCCCCCTTGACAACTTGCAGTGAAGGGGCTGCAAGCCCCCCCCAGGCACACAACATGACGCCTGCACAGCCCAGCAGCCCCCCGCCCCGGGCAGGGCTACTTACGATGGGCCCGGGTGGTCCTGGGGGTCCCCGCAGTCCCGGTGAGCCCTGGGGAGAGATGACTGGGTCAGACGTGACTGTGGAGAGGGGGACAGGGGCCTGGCACCACCCCGGCTCTGAGGGGCACCAAGGGACCAGCCACAGCCCCAGTGGCCACTGGGAAGGGCTGGGACGGTGGGGGGGTGCAGAGGAGCAGGGCAGCATTGTGAGTGGGGGGGTGCACCCACCTGCTCGCCTCTCTCGCCGGGGATGCCCGGAGTGCCTGGCAGCCCGGGATCGCCCACACAGTCTGGGTCAGGGCTGTCACCCTGCGGGGAACAGGGACACATCAGGACCTGGGGCCAGCTCTGCCCACGGCTGAGCCCTGCCAAGCCCCGCCAAGTGCCCCCAAAAGCAACCTCCACTCCCCAAAGCCCCAGGTGCTCCCGCAGTGGGGGTACGGTGCCGGGTCCTACCCCAGTGGGGACCATTCCTGCAGCACCCTGGGGACCAGGGAGTCAGTCCAGGGGCAGGGAGAGGGTGCTGGGCAACACGGTTCACTCACCCGAGCCTCCTCCGCTCTTGGGAACTGGGCAAGGCACTGGAAGAAAACCCAGGAGTCACCCGGGGATCCCCTTTAAGGATGCACTGGAGGAGCTGTGGGGCACAGCGGGGCACAGAACCCCCACATCCTGCACCCCCCGGGCGCTCAGCACCTGCTGCTCCAGCCTGCGCTGGGCCCTGCACAGGACAAGCCCATCACCCTCCCCAGGGACCCCATGGGGGCAGGCAGGGGAGCCTGTCTGCTTGCCCAGTGGCACCAGCATGCCCAGAGCGTGCCCAGAGCGTGCCCAGCCCTGCAAGCACCCGCTGCTCTGCGCAACCGCCACAAGAGCTGATGCCCCAGAGCATCTCTGCACTTCACTGCAAAATTCACCAAGACCAGGGGGTTTTGGGGCACTGGGATTCCCACCCAGCGGTGGGCAAATACTCACGCGGGCACAGTTCTCGCTGCCGGGGGCCCCCGGCATGCCCCCGTCCTCCTTCTCTCCCTTGACACCAGTGGGTGCTTCGAAGGCTGCCTGCAGCTGGGCGCAGTCCCCGCAGAGGGTCTGGGAGGAGGTGGGGAGTCAGGGGCACCTCGAAATGCTTGGGGTCCCCTCTCCCGGGCATGACCCGCAGTGGGCAGGTGCTCCTCACCTTCAGCACCTCGATGTTCCTCTCGGCCATGACAGCCAGTGGCCCCTGGAAGAGACGCAGGAGGGAAGGGGACAGTCCGCATGCCAGGGGAAGCAGGACGGGTGGCCACGGGGGAAGGTGCCGTGGGCAGTGCCACCACCTACCAGGTCTCCAGCCGGGCCAGGCAGTCCCGGCAAACCGTTGTGTCCTGGCATCCCCTAAAACCCAGGAGAAATATTTAAACCCAGCACTAAAAGCTGGGCAGGATCGGTCCCCGCTCACCCGCTTCATCTCCCATTGCTCACCTGGCGGCCTGGGGCACCAGGGGGCCCGGGGGGGCCAGGAGCTCCGGGGGGACCCTGCGACACCCCAAAACACAAACGGAGAGAGGCGGAGGGTGAGGT